GCTGCTAGCCGACGATCCTTTGATGACCAGAGCAGCTGAGCCGTGACGTAAGCCTTTACTAGATAACTTGGGTAGATGGGCGCTGTACCATCCAGGACTTTGTATGCTAGTGCTAGCGATTTGAATTTGACGGGTGCAGCTAGCAGTAGCCAGTGGAGCTCAGTGAGCAGAGCGGTGACGTGTGCTCTTTTAGGCTGATTGAAGACCAGACGCGCCGCTGCAATCTGGACCATCTGAAGAGGTCTCACAGTCCAGGCTGGAGGTCCAGTTAGAAGGACATTGCAGTAGCCGAGGCGGGAGATGACAGTAGATTGGACCAGGAGCTGGGTGTGTTAGGTACGGTCTGATCTTTCAGATGTTATACAGCGTGAAGCTGGCCATCAATCACATCACCAAGGAAGGAGCCAGAGAGAGGGACTCATGTTGGACTGAGATACCGTGCCGTATGGATGGTTTCGCTGGGTTGACACAGCAGAAGATTGTCTGATCTAAGATACACTGAAATACATCAGTTTGTATGCTGATGACACCATTTTGAATGCTGACTTGACCTCTTTACAGCACAGCTTTAACACACCTGCTCTATTCCGCACCTGTTTAAAGACGACCTAAACAAGACTCATGAGTCATCCCAACATCTTCTTGGATGGTTCAGCTGTACAACTTGTCAGCTCCCAGAAGTTTTCGGGTCACTTTCCTTTGATGCGTATTCACGGAATACTTTTCAAAGTCAGGAAGAGTTTGGTGTAGAGCAGCGGGACATTACTCCTTCTGCATGCACACGGTTCCAGAACAGGACCAGGACTTAACCCCTCCTCTTCCCACAGGTGAGGCTGTCCACTTGGCACGGGACTTCGGCTACGTCTGTGAGACGGAGTTCCCAGCCAGAGCCACAGCGGAATTTCTGTGTCGGCAGAGTGATCCGGATCAGCTGCCGACCCGACGCAGCATGCTGCTGGCCACGAAGTGAGTCAGACCTGTAAAGTGCCTTGGGGGGTGCTAGGATTTTACCATTCTGCTGCACGTAGACCCATGTCCAGTTCCACTCAGAACCAGAACCTAAAAGCAGAACCCAGGGACAGGTCCGGTTGATGTAGTTCTGCAGAACCCGACGTAGTTAAAGGTCTGGTTTATGTAGTTCTGTAGAACCCGACGTAGTTAAAGGTCCGGTTGATGTTGTTCTGTAGAACCCGACGTAGTTATAGGTCCGGTTGATGGTGGTTCTGTAGAACCCGACGTAGTTAAAGGTCCGGTTGATGGTGGTTCTGTAGAACCCGGCGTAGTTAAAGGTCCGGTTGATGTTGTTCTATAGAACCCGACGTAGTTAAAGGTCCGGTTGATGTTGTTCTGTAGAACCTGACGTAGTTAAAGGTCCGGTTGATGGTGGTTCTGTAGAAGCCGGCGTAGTTAAAGGTCCAGTTGATGTTGTTCTGTAGAACCCGACGTAGTTAAAGGTCCGGTTGATGTTGTTCTGTAGAACCTGACGTAGTTAAAGGTCCGGTTGATGGTGGTTCTGTAGAACCCGACGTAGTTAAAGGTCCGGTTGATGGTGGTTCTGTAGAACCCGACGTAGTTAAAGGTCCGGTTGATGGTGGTTCTGTAGAACCCGGCGTAGTTAAAGGTCCGGTTGATGTAGTTCTATAGAACCTGACGTAGTTAAAGGTCCGGTTGATGGTGGTTCTGTAGAACCCGATGTAGTTAAAGGTCCGGTTGATGTAGTTCTGTAGAACCCGGCGTAGTTAAAGGTCCGGTTGATGGTGGTTCTGTAGAACCCGACGTAGTTAAAGGTCCGGTTGATGTTGTTCTATAGAACCCGGCGTAGTTAAAGGTCCGGTTGATGGTGGTTCTGTAGAACCCGACGTAGTTAAAGGTCCGGTTGATGTTGTTCTGTAGAACCCGGCGTAGTTAAAGGTCCGGTTGATGTTGTTCTGTAGAACCCGGCGTAGTTAAAGGTCCGGTTGATGTTGTTCTGTAGAACCCGACGTAGTTAAAGGTCCGGTTGATGTTGTTCTGTAGAACCCGACATAGTTAAAGGTCCGGCTGATGGTGGTTCTGTAGAACCCGATGTAGTTAAAGGTCCGGTTGATGTAGTTCTGTAGAACCCGGCGTAGTTAAAGGTCCGGTTGATGTTGTTCTGTAGAACCCGACGTAGTTAAAGGTCCGGTTGATGTTGTTCTGTAGAACCCGACGTAGTTAAAGGTCCGGTTGATGTTGTTCTGTAGAACCCGACATAGTTAAAGGTCCGGTTGATGGTGGTTCTGTAGAACCCGATGTAGTTAACCCTTTGATGCATGATGGTCGCTACAGTGGACAGGTACTCAGAATAGTTATTTATTTGTTTTTGCTATTAAGCACAGCTGTTGAAGACTTTATTGTATTTGAGCCCCTCCATTTGGACTTCAGTAAGTCAAGCCAACATATTTCATGTTCAGAATGCACGTGGTCCACTAAGGTGGACCTGTAATAAATTATTTGTAAATTATAAAATTTTACAAAAAATATTTGTTGAAATTTGTTTCATTCACACCTAAAGATGAATGAAAAAAATTGTTAAAAAAATCATGGCTGAAGATTTCATAATTCATGCATCAAAGGGTTAAAGGTCCGGTTGATGTAGTTCTGTAGAACCCGGCGTAGTTAAAGGTCCGGTTGATGTAGTTCTATAGAACCTGACGTAGTTAAAGGTCCGGTTGATGGTGGTTCTGTAGAACCCGATGTAGTTAAAGGTCCAGTTGATGTAGTTCTGTAGAACCCGGCGTAGTTAAAGGTCCGGTTGATGGAGGTTCTGTAGAACCCGACGTAGTTAAAGGTCCGGTTGATGTTGTTCTGTAGAACCAGGCGTAGTTAAAGGTCCGGTTGATGTTGTTCTATAGAACCCGGCGTAGTTAAAGGTCCGGTTGATGGTGGTTCTGTAGAACCCGACGTAGTTAAAGGTCCGGTTGATGTTGTTCTGTAGAACCCGGCGTAGTTAAAGGTCCGGTTGATGTTGTTCTGTAGAACCCGGCGCAGTTATAGGTCCGGTTGATGGTGGTTCTGTAGAACCCGACGTAGTTAAAGGTCCGGTTGATGTAGTTCTGTAGAACCCGACGTAGTTAAAGGTCCGGTTGATGTTGCTCTGCAGAACCCGACGTAGTTAAAGGTCCGGTTGATGTTGTTCTGTAGAACCCGACATAGTTAAAGGTCCGGTTGATGGTGGTTCTGTAGAACCCGATGTAGTTAAAGGTCCGGTTGATGTAGTTCTGTAGAACCCGGCGTAGTTAAAGGTCCGGTTGATGTTGTTCTGTAGAACCCGACGTAGTTAAAGGTCCGGTTGATGTTGTTCTGTAGAACCCGACATAGTTAAAGGTCCGGTTGATGGTGGTTCTGTAGAACCCGATGTAGTTAAAGGTCCGGTTGATGTAGTTCTGTAGAACCCGGCGTAGTTAAAGGTCCGGTTGATGTAGTTCTGTAGAACCCGACGTAGTTAAAGGTCCGGTTGATGTTGCTCTGCAGAACTCGACGTAGTTAAAGGTCCGGTTGATGTTGTTCTGTAGAACCCGACGTAGTTAAAGGTCCGGTTGATGTTGTTCTGTAGAACCCGACATAGTTAAAGGTCCGGTTGATGGTGGTTCTGTAGAACCCGATGTAGTTAAAGGTCCGGTTGATGTAGTTCTGTAGAACCCGGCGTAGTTAAAGGTCCGGTTGATGTTGTTCTATAGAACCCGGCGTAGTTAAAGGTCCGGTTGATGGTGGTTCTGTAGAACCCGACGTAGTTAAAGGTCCGGTTGATGTTGTTCTGTAGAACCCGGCGTAGTTAAAGGTCCGGTTGATGTTGTTCTGTAGAACCCGGCGCAGTTATAGGTCCGGTTGATGGTGGTTCTGTAGAACCCGACGTAGTTAAAGGTCCGGTTGATGTAGTTCTGTAGAACCCGACGTAGTTAAAGGTCCGGTTGACGTTGCTCTGCAGAACCCGACGTAGTTAAAGGTCCGGTTGATGTTGTTCTGTAGAACCCGACGTAGTTAAAGGTCCGGTTGATGTTGTTCTGTAGAACCCGACATAGTTAAAGGTCCGGTTGATGGTGGTTCTGTAGAACCCGATGTAGTTAAAGGTCCGGTTGATGGTGGTTCTGTAGAACCCGACGTAGTTAAAGGTCCGGTTGATGTTGTTCTGTAGAACCCGGCGTAGTTAAAGGTCTGGTTGATGTAGTTCTGTAGAACCCGACGTAGTTAAAGGTCCGGTTGATGTTGTTCTGTAGAACCCGATGTAGTTAAAGGTCCGGTTGATGTAGTTCTGTAGAACCCGATGTAGTTAAAGGTCCGGTTGATGTAGTTCTATAGAACCTGACGTAGTTAAAGGTCCGGTTGATGGTGGTTCTGTAGAACCCGATGTAGTTAAAGGTCCGGTTGATGTTGTTCTGTAGAACCCGATGTAGTTAAAGGTCCGGTTGATGTAGTTCTATAGAACCTGACGTAGTTAAAGGTCAGGTTGATGGTGGTTCTGTAGAACCCAATGTAGTTAAAGGTCCGGTTGATGTAGTTCTGTAGAACCCGGCGTAGTTAAAGGTCCGGTTGATGGTGGTTCTGTAGAACCCGACGTAGTTAAAGGTCCGGTTGATGTTGTTCTGTAGAACCCGGCGTAGTTAAAGGTCCGGTTGATCTGGTTATGTAGAACCCGACATAGTTAAAGGTCCGGTTGATGTAGTTCTATAGAACCTGACGTAGTTAAAGGTCCGGTTGATGGTGGTTCTGTAGAACCCAATGTAGTTAAAGGTCCGGTTGATGTTGTTCTGTAGAACCCGGCGCAGTTATAGGTCCGGTTGATGGTGGTTCTGTAGAACCCGACGTAGTTAAAGGTCCGGTTGATGTAGTTCTGTAGAACCCGACGTAGTTAAAGGTCCGGTTGATGTTGCTCTGCAGAACCCGACGTAGTTAAAGGTCCGGTTGATGTTGTTCTGTAGAACCCGACGTAGTTAAAGGTCCGGTTGATGTTGTTCTGTAGAACCCGACGTAGTTAAAGGTCTGGTTGATGTTGTTCTGTAGAACCCGACATAGTTAAAGGTCCGGTTGATCTGGTTCTGTAGAACCCGGCATAGTTAAAGGTCCGGTTGATCTGGTTCTGTAGAACCCGGCATAGTTAAAGGTCCGGTTGATCTGGTTCTGTAGAACCCGGCGTAGTAAAAGATCCGGTTGATCTGGTTATGTAGAACCCGACGCAGTTAAAGGTCCGGTTGATGTTGTTCTGTAGAACCCGGCATAGTTAAAGGTCCGGTTGATGGTGGTTCTGCAGAACCCGACGTAGTTAAAGGTCCGGTTGATGTAGTTCTATAGAACCCGACGTAGTTAAAGGTCCGGTTGATGTTGGTTCTGTAGAACCCGGCGTAGTTAAAGGTCCGGTTGATCTGGTTCTGTAGAACCCGATGTAGTTAAAGGTCCGGTTGATGTTGGTTCTATAGAACCCAATGTAGTTAAAGGTCCGGTTGATGGTGGTTCTGTAGAACCCGACGTAGTTAAAGGTCTGGTTGATGTAGTTCTGTAGAACCCGACGTAGTTAAAGGTCCGGTTTATGTAGTTCTGTAGAACCCGACGTAGTTAAAGGTCCGGTTGATGGTGGTTCTATAGAACCTGACGTAGTTAAAGGTCAGGTTGATGGTGGTTCTATAGAACCTGACGTAGTTAAAGGTCCGGTTGATCTGGTTCTGTAGAACCCGACGTAGTTAAAGGTCCGGTTGATGTTGGTTCTATAGAACCCGACGTAGTTAAAGGTCCGGTTGATGGTGGTTCTGTAGAACCCGACGTAGTTAAAGGTCCGGTTGATGTTGGTTCTATAGAACCTGACGTAGTTAAAGGTCCGGTTGATGTTGGTTCTATAGAACCTGACGTAGTTAAAGGTCCGGTTGATCTGGTTCTGTAGAACCCGACGTAGTTAAAGGTCCGGTTGATGTTGGTTCTATAGAACCTGACGTAGTTAAAGGTCCGGTTGATGGTGGTTCTGTAGAACCCGACGTAGTTAAAGGTCCGGTTGATGTTGGTTCTATAGAACCCGATGTAGTTAAAGGTCCGGTTGATGTTGTTCTGTAGAACCCGACGTAGTTAAAGGTCCGGTTGATGTTGGTTCTATAGAACCTGACGTAGTTAAAGGTCCGGTTGATGTTGGTTCTATAGAACCTGACGTAGTTAATGGTCCGGTTGATCTGGTTCTGTAGAACCCGACGTAGTTAAAGGTCCAGTTGATGTTGGTTCTATAGAACCTGACGTAGTGAAAGGTCCGGTTGATGTTGTTCTGTAGAACCCGGCGTAGTTAAAGGTCCGGTTGATGTTGGTTCTATAGAACCTGACGTAGTTAAAGGTCCGGTTGATGTTGTTCTGTGGAACCCGACGTAGTTAAAGGTCCGGTTGATGTTGGTTCTATAGAACCTGACGTAGTTAAAGGTCCGGTTGATGTTGTTCTGTAGAACCCGACGTAGTTAAAGGTCCGGTTGATGGTGGTTCTGTAGAACCTGACGTAGTTAAAGGTCCGGTTGATCTGGTTCTGTAGAACCTGACGTAGTTAAAGGATCGGTTGATCTGGTTCTGTAGAACCTGACGTAGTTAAAGGTCCGGTTGATGGTGGTTCTGTAGAACCCGACGTAGTTAAAGGTCCGGTTGATGTTGGTTCTATAGAACCTGACGTAGTTAAAGGTCCGGTTGATCTGGTTCTGTAGAACCCGACGTAGTTAAAGGTCCGGTTGATGTTGGTTCTATAGAACCTGACGTAGTTAAAGGTCCGGTTGATGGTGGTTCTGTAGAACCCGACGTAGTTAAAGGTCCGGTTGATGTTGGTTCTATAGAACCCGACGTAGTTAAAGGTCCGGTTGATGGTGGTTCTATAGAACCTGACGTAGTTAAAGGTCCGGTTGATGTTGTTCTGTAGAACCCGGCGTAGTTAAAGGTCCGGTTGATGTTGTTCTGTAGAACCCGACGTAGTTAAAGGTCCGGTTGATGTTGTTCTGTAGAACCCGACGTAGTTAAAGGTCCGGTTGATGTTGTTCTGTAGAACCCGACGTAGTTAAAGGTCCGGTTGATGTTGTTCTGTAGAACCCGATGTAGTTAAAGGTCCGGTTGATGTTGTTCTGTAGAACCCGACGTAGTTAAAGGTCCGGTTGATGTTGTTCTGTAGAACCCGACGTAGTTAAAGGTCCGGTTGATGTTGTTCTGTAGAACCCGACGTAGTTAAAGGTCCGGTTGATGTTGTTCTGTAGAACCCGACGTAGTTAAAGGTCCGGTTGATGTTGTTCTGTAGAACCCGACGTAGTTAAAGGTCCGGTTGATGTTGGTTCTATAGAACCTGACGTAGTTAAAGGTCCGGTTGATGTTGGTTCTATAGAACCTGACGTAGTTAAAGGTCCGGTTGATCTGGTTCTGTAGAACCCGACGTAGTTAAAGGTCCAGTTGATGTTGGTTCTATAGAACCTGACGTAGTTAAAGGTCCGGTTGATGTTGTTCTGTAGAACCCGGCGTAGTTAAAGGTCCGGTTGATGTTGT